GATCAGCAGTCCCTGTTAATTTTATCACAAGGCAACAAAATGTAAAATTTGTTATGCTGATATGCATTCAAGCTTATATCCTAAATCTGAGTTGCATTCTATCCTATATTGGCAAATATGTGAGAAAATCACAAATAACTAGACTCTTCTTTATTTGTATAGAAATAAATTCCTAGATGGATTATTTCTCCACAATTGTATCCAGGGACAATGGGTGTAAAATAATTAAAAGCTCTAGGGAATAATCAAAACACAAAATTGTAAACTTTTTTTAATCCTCCTTTTAATGGAGGATATCATAATATATCTGGAGTGAAATCCTGAAGCTATATAAATGTATACAATTTCTTATTTCTCATATATAGGTATTCATAGTTTCACATAGCTTCAGGGTAGAAAATCTAAACCACTGTCATTGTAAATTTGTATCACAGTGGAAAACAAAAAAAAAGATCGGACCTACCATTTGCCCTAAACTAAAACTCAACCAGGTCAAAATCCTTGTAATATTAAAAATTTGAGCTAATTGCGTTGCACTTCTGCCAACTGTATATTCAGCAGGTGCAAACTGCTGTGAGCACACATAAGGACAAATAAAACGCTGTCATACTGTTATAACATCCTTCTACAGCAACTGACAGGAAAGAGCCCCACAATACTAAAGATCTTTCCTTAACCAGTGCTGTGAGATGTCATGTTGCACCGCACACAGCTGTGGAGCACACTAAAAACAACTGGCACTGTCCTGTGGAGAACACATGTGCCCTCATTACGTTCAACATATTTCTAAAAGAATGAACACCAGCTGCACTGTTTTGCTAATCAGCCTGTGACTACTGAAACTCCCATGTGAGATGTCACCTCCTTCCAGTGACCAAACCTGTCTACCCCATCTTCCACACCCTCATCATGACAACATTAGCTGAGGGTTGCATGTGAGGGTGGTACTTGCAATGCTCAGTACTGTGGCACCTAGCTTAGAGCCTCTTACTGTGCTTTGAATTCTACACACTGGCTCCAGAGTCCAGGGGCTGAGTCCACTAAGACACGTGACTCACTTTGTCAGGCCAAACTTTCATGCATCCCAGAGCTACATGCAGACTGTCTGTTATGGTACCTGTCACAGGTATAAGCATCAGAGAAGGCAACAAAGTTCAAGAGAATTGTTCAGACAGCCTACAAAACTGCCACAGTAAATGGTATTTTTAAAATGGGAATGTATGCATGCATATAAGGATTCTTTGATCCCCTGGGCTTACGCAGCCTTTCCCAGACTTATCATAAAGCAAAGCAGTGCTAGGAAAAGAACACTGACAGTGATATGGCTAAGAGTTAGGTGTGACATGGTGACAAACACATGGAGAGAGTGGTAAAATTAAATATAGAGGTGCTGGGAATCAGCTCCCCAACCCATTAATATTTTCCTAAATAATATGGCAGAGTTCCAGCAGGACATGTGAGTAACACTCCAGAAGAGCTAACAGCTCAGTGGGCATGGGCTGCTCCTGTGAAGCTGAAAAGTGTGTTTCAAACTCCTCAAGTAACTTCTGTAAAGGAAAAATTAAAGTGTCAGGTCTTGAGGTCCCCAAGTACATGTTCTAACCATTGGATTACTTGCTAGTTGAGACTATCTCTGCTGTCTCCCTCTTCCTTCTTTTCCTTTCCAGAAAGGTAGGAGGGACAGGAGAAAAACTTTCAGAAGTTTTGTTTCATCTTAAAATCTTTAAAATCACTTCTGTGTTGGGGGAAAGTCAGGCCTAGTACCTGACAAACTTTTTTTTTTTACTTTGTGGACAGAGACTCTGGATTTAATGTATTACAAACAGTTCCTGACAGCAGGTATAGTTTGTTTGTGCCAGACATTGCAAAGCAGGAAAGATACAACTCTGTATAGAGTTTTTGTTTGGTTTAAGGAACTAAATTGTTTCTCCTCAGAATGTCAATTACAAATATTCTGCACATTTTCCCATGCACTGAAGCGAGAAGCAGTCAGTATCCTAAGACTTTACTGAAGGCAATGTTTAGAATACATTTTCTGAAATGAATGGACGAAGACATCATTCAGCTTTCTGAAGGAGAAAAAAACCCACCACTTACATACCACTGATGCTACCAGCTTCATGTAAGGAAACTGGAAATACCAAAGGAAACACCAGAATTCATAACTAGCCTGGTTTCAATCAACACATACAGATGTGCTATATATTTGGGGAGAATCAACTGAAATAAAATGCTGAATTATTGTATTTGAGTTTGCCTTTTATAATACATGACATATTTTATTCTTTAGTTGCACTGTATCGATATTGTACAGACATTTGACTAGTTGCCTATGAAGAGGGCACAAGCCTGCCAGCTTGATAAATGGAAAACCTTACAAAATATCATCACTGGGAAGAATCACCAAATCTCATATAAAGAATGGATTAAAAATGTTTTTGCCAAAGTTAGGATGACCAAGTTGTCACAACTAGCAATGGCAGTAGGATAAGTTTGACAATCTGGTGTGATTAAACAGCTCATAGATCCAGAACTTTCTTCAAGGATGGATGACAGGGAACTGTAATCACTGATCAATCTCCTGAGAAGCATGCCCAAAACCCAGGTAGGCAAAGATTCTCCTGCTGTTGAAGAAGTATTAAACTGACAAGATCAGTGGAGGAAGTATCATTTACCAAATGTGAACTTGCAATGCATGCAGATAAAGATGTGGGAAAGGTGGCAAAGCCCATTAGAGGTTTCTGCTGGCCGTATGCCGATGATAAAAGCAAACAGTTTTCATCTGAACAGCACTTAATTTAAAACACTCATCTCAGCATAGACTACTGATTAGTTACACACCTTCAGATAAAAGCAGACTACTTTTTGTTGGGTTTATTCCAAAATGCTTGCCAAATCCTGGTTATGCAAAAATTACCCAGTTTGGAAGGACATGAGTACAGCACAGCTCTGTAGGATTCGCAATATGGATGAGGTTATTAATCCATCAAATCCAGGTGCTTGCTGCTGAGAGTGGCTAATTCCTGAGACTTAGAAAAAAATTGGAAAAAATAAAAGAAAAACAAGCCACCAAGAACCCAACATCATCATGGGCACCTAACCAATTGTATAGTCCTCTACATATTTATTTATTGTGATTTGTAAATGATAGGAACCAGCTCAGCATTATAGACCTTTCATGATAATTTAAAACTTGTGGTGTCATAATATAAATTCTGAACTATTCCTGAGTAAATACGAATAAAATTCTGCAAACCATAAAGAAACAGCATTACAAAAAATAAAATTATGAATTAACTAGTGCTCCCACAACTAACATTAAAGATATTTTCCTAAGGGATGGAGGAAAAAAATAGAATTTTGTTCTTGCTATTACACACTCAGGTAAGAGAAAACGCAACATTCTCGTAAAATAACAAACATACAGGTGTCTAACAAATGACAGTGGAGTCCCTGCAGACCTTATTGATACATCATATCTTACTGTGAATATTTGATGGCTCAAATCACTTTTCAAAACTGATAAATCCAAAAGAAAACACACAATCTTAAAATATTTTAACATCCTCAATATCTACTATTAATAATATGACTAGAAAAGATTTCCTTCAGAACAGAAAATTATGTGTTTCTCCCTCAAAATATCAGACTGATTTATGTAAGCTTTATGTAAATTTTGGATGTTTCAAAAGTTCACTTTTGAAGCATACTGAAACCAATACTTATATGTAGCACTAAAGTTTTCTATAAACAATACTAAGAGTAATGCATGCAAAACAAGTGGCAAGCACAAAATATTGTGAAGAGGAAACACGTTCTAAATGTTTTGCATTTCTTATGCACATAATACATATTTTACATATATACTATTTATATACATCTTACATATATATTAAATACATATTACATATGTATTTAATACATATTACATATATATTTTACAATGCACATATTATTTTGTCATAATAATATAGAATATCAAGTCTTTCATGTACTTTATTCCACACATTTTACAGAAATGGAACATTATGATGTTGCTGGCAAATAACTGCATTATGATTCTTTTGAAGAGGCATAAACCGTGGTACAACTTGTGTTTGGAATGATTTCTAGTATCATGTCCAAAGTTCCTCATTTCTATACTATAATGTTCTGAGCCATCAGAGTGCTGATGTAAACCCAGGCTGAAGGATAAAAGCACACAGAGGCATACAATTTCTAACACTGTAGATGAGTCTGTAGTATAAGACATACATAACATACCTGGACTAGAAGTACAACACCCTCTTTAAAATAATTAATATGGCAACTATATAGGGATGCTTCTTGAAACACTTAATCTGTATTTAGGCAAAGATCACCCTGACTTTAATCAGAGATTTACTGTGAAAGATCAGTGCAGCAAATTACAGCTACATAAACTTGGAATTCTTTTTAAACCACACTGATTTTACTGCTTTACTTCTTTACCGAAACATTTTCTGTTTTGGTACAGAAGGTCCACACACTGAGAAAAGTAGCAGAAGACTGCTAGCAAGCTTTCACTTTTTAGTATACAGCTATTAGTTTAAGAAACTAAAATGAAAATTTCCACCAACTAAAATGAAGATTGCTGTGGGTATCACACTTGAAAACCATTCCTGCCTGCAGTAACAGAAATTGGAGCCTTCCTTAGTTGTCTGTCTGATCGTTTACTCACTCACTTGTTGCCCAGCAACTACCATCAAGGAACTACAGTTCTTAGACACCCTCATTTTAATCTTGAAAAAGAAGATGAAAATTACTATGTGAGTAATCTCCTCCTGGTGAGATATTGTATAATTTCAATTTACATAGCTGCAGAAAGGAAGACAAGTGACTGAAGAATCTAATACTTTCACTCTGAAAGGTTCATTTTCCCTGCCCTTGTACCAACCCGTTTACTGACCAACTACTTAAATATTGTTAGGTGCTTTGTAATATTTGTGCCATAGCAATAGAAGCAAACATCTGTCACTTACGTTCTTGAATCATCCCACAGCACACAGTAGGGATTCAATGTGCCCTAAGAAGAAAACAGACAAACCTATTAATTACAGGTATACAAAAAAATATACCATGCTTGACTTAAAAATTTATTTGGATCTCCTCCTACAAGATCATGCTTATACTCTGACAAACTGATGCCACTGAAATTTCAGAAGCTTAAGGTTAATACTTACAGCATATTTAAAAAGCACTTGAACCTCAAAGCAGAGTATTTGCTGTATTCTTTCTCTTAGATAAGCATAAAGTTGTCTATTTAGTATATCCTAGTAGAATTGAAATATGAGATAAGAGTTCATCTGTTAAGAGTCTTGACTTGACTGAACATTTCTGGGTGTGTTTAGAAGCAGAACTTTAAGCCCCTTGGGAACTTCGATGTCAAAAGCAGTAATGCCTTTAAAAATTTCAAGTATATGTTGGCCAAAATGTCTGGAGGCTGAGATTTCAGATGACCCCACATGCAATAGCCAAGTCCTTTTGCCAATAAGGTTCTAAATCAGCAGAGATCTTTGCCCAAAATATTTTTTTTTGTGTTGAGCTGTACAATCCCAGCTCCAACCTCTTCAAATTTAATGGAAGATTTCTAATTTGATTTAGAACAGGATGGAAATCTAGGTTTATTACACATCATTAAACTGTGGGTAATGTTTTGGGAAATTTAAATGTCTTTATTATTACTCATGTTTATTTTGCTGCCTAAGAAGAGTTGAGGCAAAATTAAAAATCTTCTAAATCTTCCTTTATCAAAACTCATATTGACTTAGAAGTACTTAACTAGCTAAAAACAGCAAAACTGTATTCCTGTTCATCATAAACATTGCATATTCCCAGAAGTCAGAACTACATAAACATATTAGATATACAATACAAAATAAAAAATATTTTTAACATAATCACAGGTGATTTGAAGAAACGGGTAAAATACACTATTTGCTTATGTCAACATCGGTGTAGTTTTCTCATGAACAGTGTTGGTGCAGTAGATATAAAGGTAGTTTCATGTAAACATTTCATTATTTAAAGTGTTTTATTTAAAGGAAAAACACGTCAACCTGTGAAGTAAAAATCTACTGAATATTTTAATTATTCCATTCACCTCTTTGTCAAAGATAAAAAATATCCTTCTGAAGATGCTTGTGAGAGAGGCATTTAGGGAAGTTTCTGATCCTCTACTTCAGTATTTTGCTGACTGTTTTGAATTTTATGAGTGGAGTATAAATATTTAAAACCAACATATATTTATGGCACTTTATATTAACATAGCACTGTACAAACATAAATAAAGGATGTTCCATTCCCTGAATTATTTATAATATAAAAAAGAGGAAGGGGAAGAGGGCACAGGACAAAGCACTGGGTAACAGGCAAACTGAGATTCAGAGACCAGGTCCTGCATCATTAGCCAAAAGCTTTCAGATATATTGATGGAAGAGGATATAGAAGGATAAAAATTAAGAACAATGGAGTGACAGTGCAGAATTAACATTTCTTTTAAACGTAATTGTTACGGAGTATTAATTTGTATCGTAAAACAGGGTGAAGTAATTCTACTTGCAATCTGATACAGCTATATGCACATTAAAAAAGTACTCCTATAGCCGAATTGTAGTAATATCTGAGATCTGAGATGTCTTTCCTAGTAGCAGATATCATACAGTTTATGCTTGCTATTCCCACAGTGCAAACAGAAAGAACACAGAAATACTTCCAGAAAAAAATGTCTATTATAAAGAAAACTACAAAATAGGGGGAAAAAAACGCCTCTGCAGAAAGCTGAAACATGATAAAATTGCTGCTGTCAGATCACATGCTTCAATCTCTTTGAAATACATTCAAATTAAAACAAAAAAACAACCAAAAAAAGTTTATGTTTGGCCATTGCAGTCAGTAATGAGAGATTAAGCAGAAACATGGAAAGCAGGATAAATATTATTCCTGTTCCTTAAGAAGGTCTTGTGTGAGGGTTTGCTCTACCAGGTGTGGCAGCTTGCAAGGACACAGCAGCCTTTCAGAACTTCCTCTTTTGATATCCCGATCAAACACCCTTCAAGCACTGCAAGAACAACAAGGAGCTTGTCTTCCTATTTTCTTCTTTGCCCTTAACCTGTTGCTCCCTTTTTCACTGTATTTCTGGGTCTGGCCTCCTGGCAATGTATCCTCACACTGCTGTCGCTGAGCTACCTCCAACAGCCAACGCTCTGTGAGGGCGGCAATCTTTGGTCACAGCACTTACCATGTGATTACTTAACTGCAGCTAAGGAAGCAGCTACTGCGTTCATCAATGTTTGCGACTCCTGCGATATTGATTTATACACTACAGTACAGGACTACAGTACAATACAAGTTATCTCGAAAACAGACACATGTATGTTAGTGTGTATGCATATGTAACTCTGCCTGGCATATAAAACTGAACTTTCAAAATGTGATTGGTAACTTTGACAGCTATGCAGACCAGTGCCAAATGTGTTTTGTAGCCAGGGTTTTCAATCTCATTGAAAGCTTGATGTCCTACGCTACTGCTGGCTTGTTATTTTAGCGTCCTTGGAGTAAACTTCTATGCTGTCAGAAGGTGAGAGTTCATATTCTCTCTGGAGCAAATATGATTTTGTTTGAGTTGTGCAGTTTTTAAAAGATTACTTTGGTGTCTCTTTAATCAGACTACTGGAAAAATGTGATCAAGTTCTCAGTTCATAAGACCAAATATCATGCTCTCTAATGCATTGCAACCCACATTATCACTGTGGTCAACTGTCTACTGTATTTTAATTTATCTGCAAATCCAAATACCATACTATATTTCAAACAGCACATGCAATTGTGATTTACACTTCCTCCAAAAAACAAACCTCCAGTTTTATTAATGAACTGGCTAATTTTTATATAAAATGAAGCAATGAAGATAAATTTTGAATAAGTGAATAAATTTTAAAGCTAATGTGGATTAAACACATTAACTTTTATTAAATGATAACATTTGTCTATCTTTTTTCATAATCTCTTATGTATTTAATGTAGTCAGTGAACCAGGAGCTAAAGGCACAAATGCGTGGGTATATGCCTATACATTAGTAGGCATGCTCTAGAGATTGATGAAAAATTAGTTATTAAAAAAATTTGGAAACAAACTTTTCTGAATAATAAACAGAATTTCAAGAACAAAGATTTTAAAAGAGCAAAAATAACAAGAGCCATTAAAAAAAAAAAATCAGATGAAAGAGAACGTCTATATTTTATATTTTGTTTAATAACTAGGCTATTTAATTGACATATGATTAATCTGAGCAATTAATATATAATGTTCAAACACTAAAAATACACTAATACTAGTTTTATCTTTCTGTATGTGACACATAAAGCTTATTCTATAGTAATATATTATGATTAAATAAATTCTTGTTTTCAGCTGAGAAAATTATAGCAAAGAAGATTACAATTAGATTCAATCTGAAGGCAAGAAACACTCACACCTACAAAATAATATTTCTATGCATCTACAACCTTAGTCCTCTAAACCAAAGTCCCATTATTGAGGCTAAGACTTGAACATAAAAATCACCGAACATGTAAAGATATTAAAATTGTAAAACTGGTTTTCATTCCCAGTTTTTCTAGAGCAATATTTTGTCATTGTATCTGCTGATCCAACTCTTATATCCAGGTGGACTGAAATCCTATATAGATGTACTCTGCATGTAAATCCAAATTATGGACTGGAAATTTGTTCCAAGCACTTGATGCTTCTCTAGATTAAATTATAGGACAAAAACTGAGCCAAAGGAAAAAATAATTGGCTCTGATACCTATTGGCAAGGTTATTGTCTTTTTGCCTTGTCAAGACATAACATAATACAATACTCATTAATATTCTGTTACTGAAAGGTTAACAAAGGAAGGTGACAATCTGTCTCTATCTGACCTTTTGTAACAATTTAATTTAATTTAATTTCTAAGAGTTTGAAACTTGGCAAAAACTTGCTCTGTAAGTTACTCAAAGGGATTGATTAAAAAAAAAAGATGAAAAAAAGTCCCTCTAAGAATTTTCTATAATTTCAGATTCTGGGGACAGTGGTTCAACCTTTCATTAGTCTAGCTTTGCTTGTGTTGTGCTTGTTTTAATGTCTTGTGTTTGGCTTATAAGTATTCTCAATGCTGACATGTTGCTTACTAACATTTTTTAATATTTTTTTTATTTATTTGCTAGCATGAATGACCAAAGTAATAACAAACTTTTTTTTTTTTCCTACCTGATACCCTACATTCCTGCAAGTAATAACTCCAGTTCCAAATTACAGAAGTCATACTCCAATATTCCTTATCTACAACTCATACATGTAGTGCCACAATTATTGTTAAGATAATGAAAACTGAAATCCAGCATTGAGAAATACCATAAACTCTTCGTAATAATGAATTTAGTAAGATCAAAGCAAGTATTGTATTTCAAAGCTGGAGGTTTTTTTCCCTGATATGCAGGATTAATTCATGGTCTACTTCAACAAATACTTTATTACATCTTTAGTGAAATTTCTGACAGGAGAAGAAGTTATGTTAAAGACATATTTTCTCTTAATATATATGTTGTAACTTAGATTGGAAAGAAAACAAAAGAAAACAAAACAAAAAACCAAACCTACCCACCCTAAAACATATTTAAATTAAACAGAAACAGAGAACCATAAAAAACAGTATCTCCACAATTCTTCATCAATAAAATTCTAATTTTACTGGAAGGTAAGGAATCATCTCAGTTTATGTTCATGTATTTCTTTATTTCTGCTTAACTTTGCAGTAAATTTCACTGAGTTGCTCTCTGTAATATCATTTTTCTGGGAACCGAATGGTGGGTCACAATGACCATTGATGGCAAAACAGTTTCGTCTAACCTTGAGTAAAATGTAAATCAAAGATCTAGAGTTCAAAGATTTTCTTCATACTTTTGCCCTGAAACACTAATCCAAATTTGCTGATTAAAGGCTGAAAAGTACACAATTAAAAATAATTGCACAAAAAGCCTCAAACATATAAGAATTGTAAGCTCAGTCGGCACCAGAGCAGAGCATTTTTTTGTCTGATACAACAGGTTAGGTTAAAACTGGCTTTTGACTATAAAATAATGAAAGAAAAGAAGAAAAGGCCTGAAGAACTATGTAGCTCTATGACCTATGCAGGGAGCAAAAGGTTAAGCATTCAGCACAATACTACATTTTCAATTGTATCCATCAAAGCAGTTAATGGAGAGGTTTTTGTTGGGATTAATGGAAACCTCAAAACTCACTAAATGACAATTTTGTTTTGCATATACACATGCATGAAACAAGTACACATTCCCTTCAAAGTATGTTAGACTGTTCCTGGGCTTAAGTTTTATCAGTTAAACTGGATTTTATTACCCGATATTCAAAACAACCCTACTTTGTTCTCTCATATGATCTGATAAATACTCTTGGAAGAGCATATCAACTGCCCTTGTACTTACATTAGACAGATGGGCCAGTTCTATCTCCAGGAAAGAATCTGTAGTTTTGGGCTCAGGTCGTATAGTAACAACGATGATTTTTGAATTAACAACTGTAAAATTCCTGGGGAAAAAAAAAAAAAACAAACAAAAAAACAAACAAACAAAAAAAAACATGTGAAAATGAAAGATTTAAGTTAGTATAAGGTTAAATGAGGCTTCGAATATTACATTTAAAGAACTATCTCATGGGCATTTTCCTTGACTTTAGTTGACAAATATTCAGGGAGAAAATATATTTGTCTGGAAGTGGTGAAAACATTCACATGTTACCAACTGTACCTAACACTTTAAAGACTGAAGAGCAACAATGGTGGCAGAAATGTCATTCCTTAAAGTACGATTTACTAATTAGAAGGTTGTATTGATGACACAAACATTCTGTCAATGTTTGAATGCGTATTATTTGCTTCTCTCAACATAGACGCACTATCTATGTTTTATAAGACAATAATTTTAGTTCCAAGGTGCCGTGTTGCACTTTTTTTTCCTGACTGTTAACTGCAAAATTGTGAAGATGGATGAGTGCAATGGGAGATTCTACAGTTCTGTTGATTCTGTGCTTGTGAAAAAAACCTACATGTTTCCAGTTTTTGAAAAAACATTGAATTTGGTTTATGAGCAGGCAACTTCATTGTCTAAATAAGTTTAAAAATATAATCCATAGTTGTGCCCTGACTGAAATACCACCAAAACTATTCAATTTTTTGTCATGTATGTGAGATGAGATTTGGTTATGTTATTGTACCAGGTTACTCAAAATAATATTTTTCTGTTAATTTCTCTAATTCATCATCAATCTCTCTTTTTATGTAAAACATGGATCACTATGTTTTGTAGCTACCTTTCTAGGACATACAGTATTGCCAAGTTTATACTAATACAGGCATAAAGACACCTTGACATGATGTTCATGTCGAGATCCTTGATTCTTATGACCCTGTCAGGCTTAGAACAATCATCAGTTAGCAGCTGACTGTTTCTGATGATCATTACAGCATTTCCTTTGTATGTAATGCTGCTTTCAACACCTTCTGCTGATCGCACATAAAGAAACATAAAATCTCAAAGAAAGACATATTCACAAGTAGATATTATCACAGAAGAAACTAGGCAGTTTAGATGTAATTATAATAGACAGTATAAATATTCTGTTGTTGTTGTTTAATTGCTTATTTTCTCTAGGGAAATGGTATTTATGAGAAGATTCCATTTTGCTGGATCATTGAAACAGGAATTGCCATGGCTACAGTAATAGAAACTTAACTCAATGGGCATTTTATTCAGCACAAGGAATGAAATTATTCTTCTGGGGCAAGGTATGAATTCTAGTCCAATTTTACTCAACCAAATCATATAATGAAAATATAATGAAAGTGACTTTCTATTTTACTTAATTCCCATTTCTTCCCTTTAGTGGCACTTTGAAGTCTCTCACGTTGACAAAAACATATCTCTCTATCAGACTAACACTTAATGTTTGTCAAACTTTCAGTGCATTGTGTAGAGGGGGAGTAATGGCTGTACCTTATTGTATATACAGTAGCTAAATATCTATAAATGTTCCCAAGTAACACACAAATAAATAAATAAAAACCAACAAAAAATCCTCCAAATAATCTCAAAATTGATTTCTCTAATAGATCATGATAGGTAGAAGTAGAGCTTACTAGATACTAAAACATTTTGTCCATTTTGGAAATTCACAAACTAATGTAAATAATGATACTTCAGTACTTGATTACAGCCAATCATTGTGATTTAGAAATATTTCCTTGCTATATCTAATTTTGGTACAGTTCTGATGGTTTTAGAGTAAGATGCAAAAGAGTACTTAAAGTGCCTAGACTGTAACCTTGGTACATGAAATCTACCTTAGTCGCATTAAAAACCTAACAATCCACATACGTTCCCAAAAGCCCTTAGCAAACTATTTCACCGGAAAATAAATGTAACTGGCTATATCACTGTGAATTGAAATCTGCATCAATCATTGCTGCCCTTTCTGGGCTCAATGCCTAGTTGCATATAGCATATTTAACTGTTTAGACAATCCCTGGAAGAATGCAATCTGGTAAGTATACTCTAAACATTAAGATGCCACTGAATTAAAGCTCAAAGCATTGTAGTCACAAGAATTTCCCTCAAAACAATGATGCAGTACCATTGATATATTTGCTGAAGATAATTGTTAAACAACAGCTTAGTGCTGAGAGAATTTATTCAGGAATTTAAGTAATCAGCTTTTACAAAATGTCTCGAGGTGGAATATGTTGGTTTCAGTCCCTCTCATATTGGGAACATAGAATGGCAACAACCCATCTGACACTTCATGGGCAAATGCTTTTTCTTATAGCTTTTTTTATGACAAGTGGAGAGTTTCTTCACCATTACCTCTTTCTCCTTTATCCAAAAAAAAAAAAAATTAAAATTGATCTTTAATGAGAAATGAACTTATACACAATGGTGCTCTTCTGACTGTCCATAAAAATGTACATCAGAGTCAAATTCTGAAATAAGTTACTCAAAAAACATATTCAATTCCTTAGGAACTATGGCTGAACAAATCCTTGAAGATTCAAGATAAAGTTTGATTAAGTAAAGACTCAAGAAGAGCTTCCACAGATGCTTTTCTAGTGTTTTTTTCTGATCTGAATTAATAACATTATTAATAAAATAATTTAACTAAGCTCTTTTTCTATTTCGGTATACATTCTGAGGGTATTCTTTTATGTAAGAGTATACATAATGATTCCATGTGATAGTGTTGTGGTTTGAGCCTACTCAGCAGCTAAACGCCCCGCAGTCGCTCACCCACCCTCCCCCCACTTGGGAATGGGGAGGGAATCGGAGGGGCAAAGGGAGACTCGAGGGTTGAGATAAAAACAGTTTAATAACAGTAACAGAATAACACGCTGACAGCAGTATCAATGGGTAACGTACAATACAACTGCTCACCACCCACTGACCAACACCCACCTGCTCCCAGCCAGCAATCCCAAACACAAAGGCAACACAGCAACACTCCCAGAAGTAGCCACCTCCCCCAGCCCTCTCCTGCCTTTATATAGTGAGCACAGTGTCACGTGACATGGACTATCGGCCAATCGGGGCCCAGCCCTCCAGCTGTGCTCCCCCCGCCCCCGCACACAGGTGAGGGCACTGGGCCCTGGGGAGCCCCTGGGGTCTCAGGGTGCTGCAGCACTCCTCCCGCTGCCAGACCAATGGGAACTCTAGGCCAGCCCCAACCAGGACAGATAGGAAATTCAGGTTTTCTTTTCTTCATAAAATCATAGAATGGCTTGGGTTGGAAGGGACCTTAAAGATCACCTAGTCCCAACTCCCCCGCCACGGGCAGGGACACCTTCCACCAGACCAGGTTGCCCAGAGCACCGTCCAACCTGGCCTTGAACCCTTCCAGGGAGGGGGCAGCCACAGCTTCTCCTGTGTGTCTCATCATTCTCACAGCGAAGAATTTCAACCTTGTATCTAACCAAAATCTACCCTCTTTCAGTTTAAAACCGTTACTCCTTGTCCTATCACTACATTCCTTGATAAAGAGTCTCTCCCCGTCTTTCTTGTAGGCCCCTATTAAGTACTGAAAGACTGCTATAAGGAGCTTTCTCTTCTCCAGGATGAACAACCCCACTCTCTCAGCCTGTACTCATCAGGGAGGTGCTCCAGCCCCTGATTATCTTCGTGGCCTCCTCTGTACCCTCTTATACAGGTCCCTGTTCTCCTTATGTTGGGGGCCCCAGAGCTGGACACAGTACTGCAGGTGGGATCTCACAAGAGTGAAGTAGATGGAGAAAATCACCTCCCTGGACCTGCTGGCTACAGTTCTCTTGATGCAGCCCAGGATACAGTTGGCTTTCTGGCCTGTGAGTACACATTACTGGCTTATAGTCAACTTTCCATCCACCAATACTCCCAAGTCCTTCTCCTCAGGGCTTTTCTCAATCCAGTCATCTCCCAGATTTGTGCTTTTGTGCTTGGAATTCCCCCGACCCACATGCAGGACCTTGCACTTGGCCTTGTTCAATTTCATGAGGTTTGCACTGGCCCACCTTTCTTTTCAGAATGACTCTGTGCTGCTGAAGAAAAACAAACTTATGAATAAGGCATGTTGCTATCTCAAGACAACATGAAAGAAGTTATAGTGCAATGTGCAAATGTTGTATACATTACAGAAAGATTACGGATACTATAGCAGTAATGTTGTGCAGTAAAAGTCTGTCTGAGGTACTCTGTCCTCAGTCTAACAAAGCTGACCCTAGAACGTTTAAGGGTCATTTTGACTGTATAGCACCTGAAGGAGCTGGTTAGGAATAGTATTTAAAATGGGGAAAGAGAACATTTCAGTGCAGGAAATTATAGCAGGAAGGGTATGGTGGTTGCTTAAGTGATGGGAAAAAAAGCTTGCTACAGCAAAATCATTGATTCTTTATTTGTTCTTATTTGTTAAAAGAAAAAGTTAAAAACTATCTTAGGGTATGGCAATATGCAATGTATTCCTTTAGAGTGCTCAGGAGAGGAATTACATATAATATCTTCTAGATTAGTACTATACTGAGAATCAATTTTCTGTGAACCTAACAATAGCATAAATGTGCTCAGGGATGCAAGAACTATGGAAATAATGTTCAATCTATAATGCTCAAAATATTCAGTATTTCAATATATGATTTTAAAAAGATCCATATGACATTACAAGAACAGTGCAATGCAGCAAAGTATATTAGGCGATAGAATCAGATGAAGCTTATTTACTAGTGCATAGGAAAAAAAAATTATATTTTTATAAGGAAGAATAAAGTAATTTTCTCTTCTTCTCCCTAACTTCTTGTTTAAACAGTGCTGTCAAAATTCTTTGAATAACTTACATGTACCATTAGGATTAAACACATTGTCCAAAAAGTTCTACATTAATGTAATTGCCAAGTTCTCATCTCACTGTGTTTACAAGATTTACTTTTAACAGACTCTATGCCAGTAAAAACAAGAAAAGTCAAGGCCATATGGTAAAATGCAGCTAACTTTGGAGTTTGTGAAATATATTGTATAGGCTGCCCTAGAAAATAAAATCCTCATTTTACTCATAGAATACCTGTGATGTACCAGATGGGGATTCTCTGGTTAGGTGCTTTGAAAGATTTTCCCTAAAGACATACTGAGATATTTTTTATTTATTTATTTGTTTATTTTAATCAAAGACATTCCTTGTGATGATGTAGAATTCTGCATACCTTTTAGTGGTGATATTAAGGAATGTATTAGAATGTGTATCACCTTTGTTCTTCTGGAAACTACAATCAAATCTTTACTTTACTCTCACCCTAACTCCTGTAAAGCCAGTGACTGAAATCACATGGGAAGTGGGAAAGCTTTCTAGATATTTAACTGCAGCCAGTAGAAATAACCTGTTTTATCAGGTTGTCAGGGTGTAAATGATGTGGACGTTGAACTCAAACACGAGCCCATTTTACATATTTTACCTTGGTTTATTGTTTTGTTTATCTTTATTCCCACCAATAACGTATTTTGTCAACTGTCATTTTATTTAGAGCAGCATTGCATGAGATGCTTACCTAGAATGTTTTTTTTAGTTCATACATTGTGCGTAGCTACCACACTTGTAGGCATCATATGAAAACTCGACGATGTTATTTCCCTTCACATTTTACAGTGTTTGCTCCATACACAATGCTATTGTAGTGAAGCATTTCGCTATGTTAATAAGATTAGTACAAATAGTAATTTTTATAAACCCATGTAAGATAATAGTTTTTCACTGCAACATGTAAGCAACCAAAAATAAACCTTATCCAAATGCAGTGGGATGTACAGAAAATTTCACCTCATTCATGTACCTGAACAAGTGTAAAATGATAAATCACCCCATAATAAAGATTCCTTTAATTCCTGCATTGCAGATCTAATTTTTGCGAAGAGTATAATAGTTCAACAAATTTAGCACTAACCACAGTTGCAGCTTTTTCCCCAATTCAGAATTCCATCTGAATGAACATTAAAATGGTTTGAATGCATCAAAATGCATCAAAATGCACTCAATTGTACTTAATAATTCATCAATTACATAGACAATGGGATTGAGTGTGCCCTCATTAAGTTTGCCAACCACACCAAGCTGCGTGGTGTGGTTGACACACTGAGAGGTGGGCCTGTGCAAACCTCATGAAGTTCAAAAAGGCCAAGTGCAAGGTCTTGCACATGGGTTGAAGCAATCCAGAATATCAGTACAGACTAGGGGATGAAGAGATTGAGAGCAGCCCTGTGGAGAAGGACTTGAGGGTGCTGGTAGATGAAATATTAGATATGAGCCGGCAATGTGTGTTTGCAGTCCAGATGGTCAGCCATATCCCAGGCTGCATCAAAAGAAATGTGGCCAGCAGAATGAGAGGTGATTCTCCTCCTCTACTCTGCTCTTGTGAGATCCCACTTGGAATACTGCATCCAGCTGTGGGGTCCCCAGTACAAGAAAGACATGGACCTATTAAAGCATGTCCAGAAGAGGGCCACGAAAATGGTCAGAGGGCTGGTGCATCTCTCATGAAGAAAGGATGAGTTGGGGTTGTTCAGCTTGGAGAAGAGAAGGCTCTGGGAAAACCTTGTTGCAGGCTTTCAGTACTTAAAGGGGACTTATACGAAAGATGGAAAGAGACTTTTTACCAAGGCTTGTACTGACAGAACAAGGTGCGATGGTTTTAAAGTGAAAGAGGGTAGATGTAGATTAGATGTAAGGAAGAAATTTTTTGACAGCACTGGTGAAACACTGGAGCAGGTTGCCCAGAGAAGCTGTAGATGTCCCCTCCCTGGAAGTGTTCGAGGTCAGGTTGGATGGGGCTTTGAGCAACCTGGTCTAGGAGAAGGTATTTCTCCCCATGGCAAGGGGGTTGAACTAGATGTCCCTTCCAACGCAAACTGTTCAATGAATCTACGATTCTTCATAGAATGGTTTGAAAATGGTTTGAAATTGTGCCACCTTTGAGGTACTATTTTAAGGTCATGAGATCAATTTTGAATATGACTGTAATGGGCAAAGAAATCCAGCATGATACACTTCCTGATGAGGTAAGAGATGTAAGCTGTAAAAGTTTCAGTATAACTTCAGTATAAATATTGAAGTAGTGCAGGGAAGTACTGTGGCCCTATACTCTGAACAAAGAGGTATGTGGGAATATGTGTTATATTTTTATATCACAGATTAATAATGACTTTTATTCCTTATTCACATACATGAGATAAAGTAATGGTGGTTGTTTCCTTTTCTTAGGCAGTTGATAATTGAATGCAAATAATACTGAACATATTCAGAGGCAAAGTAAGATATCTTCATATTCAAATTTCTAAAGACTTCATTTATAAATAGATGTACATAGATTATTACACCATTTTACATTAGAAACTCACAAAACCTCTCTGTGAACTGAAAAGTACAGAGAAATGGTCAAATTTGTTGTGTAAATCAGTAACCAGCCAAAAGTTGAACAAATAAATGCAAAAAATTTGGGAACTGAGATGCACTTTCTCATAGTCCATAGTACTTATGTTTCTGTATTTTTATGTCCCTATTCTGCCCCTATTCCTGCTACTTGGGATGTTACTGATTCTTGGGAAAAATCTAGTAAGGCCTATAAATCTCACTTTGCTAATGGATGAAATAAAAGCCTTGAGAGGCTTTTCATATAAGCAAATATACAACATTCAAGGTTCACACTTGTTTTCTGTAAAATCAACTATTGACCTATGAAAGCCGAAAAGGCATGATCATAGAGTGTGGTTTACAACATAAATGCCTGAGAGGTACCTGGCCACCTTTATGCTTTCTTAGGATTGGCAGATTTTCTTTAAGGTCTGCCAAAAAGGACTGACTACAATACCCATTTGGCTCTGTTTCTTTGAATATGGGAGAAGAGAAGAAAAAATATCTCTCACAAACATCTCTTCCTTCCTGGCTAATTTCAGGAACTGGCACAACAAATGGAAAGTGCTTAGTGGCATTTCAGAAGTGGATGAGCTGTCATTTATACCATGTCTTAAGCATAGATGGCTCTTACCAGCACTTCCCAGGCTTCCAGGTGTCCTGCGAGGACATCACTGTTCGAATTGTGCTCTATCCCAGAGAGATTTCTGTTCCCAACATTGCAGTACTCATTGCACAGTGCATTGCAACTTTACTGGGAAGTTTTTTTTTTCTTAGGACTGAGTGTCTTTTTGTTTTCAAATGGTTTTTTTTTGGCAAAAACCTGTTGTTTTTCATCCTTTGTTTCAAGTCCTGAAGTTTTGATTAAATAGAGTAGGGAAAGGTGATCTGGTGGCTTCCTAATTACTATCCTTTCTAATTATTGTGAATTCATTAGAAGCTATTGTGACACAATCTGCACCCATTTCTTTTACCGTAAAAGGACATTAGTGAACCAACGGTGCACAGGATCATATGAAATAAGATAGTGTTAATGGACCATGAAATGATCTCAAGCAGTAATTTGAGAAGAGGGGGTGAAATGTTCATTTCCAATCTTCTGTTATCAAGTACAGAAAGGAAAAGGTGAAACAAGACACCCTCCTATTTCTTTATGTATTTGTATGGCCCTCATAACTGACATACGACAACTGTTCAGGCACATACACGTCTTGTTTCTAAAGTGGATCTTCTCTATAGCTCTGCTGTCCCATCTGAATACAACTTGTACTGAAAAAGTACTTGGAAAACTACTACTAGAGACTCCTGTAGAAGTAGAGCAGGCAACCTCAGTACATCAGGTTATGATGTCATTACTAGATCAGTTGTACTAACTGGACAAACAGTAGTTTGAAGCAGAAGTAAAAGCGGCCTGAGCGTTATTGGATGTCAGTGTGCATACTTCTAATCAAACATTTCTGTAATTAAGTTTAATATAGATTAAATAAAATATAAATTAAGCCAACTTGATAAAAAGGCTACTTCCATTATGCAAATGACTAAACATGAAGAAAAGACAAATATACAATACATGTTTTCAATAACAGGAAAAAAAAATCCAACAATACCAATATGCAGTCTTGGTTGTCTGCTTTTATCCTGACATGTAATGTAGTTATGATCCCAAAACAGTTTAATTCATATTGTATTTATGAAATTTCTTACCTCAAAGTGGGCAAAATGAGTTCTAAATTTTTGTATAGCACTGCTCCAAGTACAAATACAGTTGATTCATCTAGTTCTGAAAATATTAAGAAAAAAAGACTTGTAAACTCTCTTTCCCAAATTTTCATCAGCATAAAAAAATGTGAGTACCATTTATCTTTCTAGCAGAAATTTTATTTTAAATAAACCATCATAATTTTGAATTATATCCTGGAAGTCTATCATCAAGCTATAGTACTGTCAGGAATATATCAAAAAATTTAAACCGCTGAAAATCACATTTTCAAAAAATCCACCATTGTGTACTGATATCCATGCTAATTCATTTACCTTTATAATTAAGTATCCTTAAAGACTGTCTTTAGAGTTTAATGCGTAGTGAGTAAATTCTCTAATATCAGAGATTTGCACTGCAATGGTGTTCGTAAATTGTATGTGAAGCCAGGGTAATTTGCTTGTTGAGCATCCTTTGGTGAAAGTTAGGTGACATGTTGGAATGACCCAGCCTGTTGGAGCGAAGCAGCTTCAGGGGGTTCGGCAGGGCTGTACTTCAGGTCACCTCATACCACGACAGGTATAATCGTGTGCACAATAACTAAGAATTGGCTCTTTGGTGTAGAAAATAATGCCTACAATTTCTGTAGCACTTATTGTTCAAGATGCTGAGATTAAGCCCCAACATTTCCCTCTGGGATAAGCTGTGGTTACTGGATTTCTTTTGAAAATGGATGAAATAACCACTTCTATTTATACAGTGGTCCTGTGAGACAAAGATTCTGAGCTCCATTGTTAAAGCTAACACAAAACTAACGTGCTGATACACTTCTTTACCTGTTGACATAGGGGTGAAGATATTTTTTGGAATGACAACCCTGTCTTCTGAGTTTCGTGCCCAATCAACCATTCCTTTTCTTCCTTTCATGGGGAAATTGATGTCGGTTAAAACAGATGCAGCAGGAAGCTTCTGAATGCTAGCCACTAATAAGACAAATCACAAAATCAAATAAAATTGTCTTTCATACCTTAAAGCATCATACGATGATAACTGTACATCAATAACAGAAATGTTTAATAATACATTTCGAGTAAAGCAGGAATTTATAGGACATTAACTGGCACAGAAAGTGTAATCTTCTGTTTATTATGCAGTTCTACTATAGATGGATCATGTGACATTTATCATATCATTTGTCAGCTAGATTCTGATTAAGTTTCTTAACGAGAATTATTGAATATACTGGTTTATACCCTGAAATTCACATATAAGGACATTGTTGTGTCTTCAGAGCAAATTCTAAAATGATCAAATGTGACAATGAAAGGAAGAGGATGCTGCAAACTGCTTTGGGAAACATAACTGCTAGATGTAGGCTAATGAAGCAGTAACAGAGTTTTTATCCCCTATAAAAGCACAATTTCAAGATAGACCCATTAAGGAGATTCACATATTAAAAGACCTAATTGTTTCCACAGAAATGAGAATAATGCCGTATAACACTTGATTTCTTTAACTTGAAAGAATAACCCCCATTCTGAATTCTTAATTATATTCTTTCCATCTAAAAAAACCCCAACCCTCCAAATAACATCACTATTGTATCTGTAGCAGATATAGAAAGACAGAAGTAACAGGTATAAAATCTAATAATAGGCAGTTTGGAATTTTGTTTACTAATTCCCATTTACTCTCTGCTTTCTAACTCAGCTATTACCTGGAAATCAGTTTCAGCTTTGCTTTAAAAGTATGGAGTCTGACTCCATGGCAACACTGTCAGTGTCTAGTAAGACTCCAACTACTTTTAAGGAACTGACAGGACTGCAATTGTTTATGTACACTCAGAGAGATGACAATCAACACATTTGAAACACTAGCTTCATTCTTAATGTAAGCCACGCTGATAGCCATTTCCTGTGCAATGCTCTTCCTGATCAATTTATGAAGAGGCTAATGGAGTTGGAAAAGTTTGGACATCAGGACTATACTTTGATCTGTATAATGATTTCACTGCGAGGACTCTGCAAGGGGGTTAAATATAAAGAAATGGGGGACAGCTGTAAAAGCAATCAGAACAGCAGAATTGAAGTAGAAAACCATTACGTGTCTCATCAGTGGATTTTATTTGAAAGGAAACTGTAATTCAAATCCAAGAAAAGAGGAAAATTAAGAGGTTAACAATATTGACTCTACAAATGTATTCCTTGATAACTGACTCTTAGTTTCAAATTAGACTGGTTATGTATTATAGAATCACATTACTGAGGTACTTGAGGTTATTTCAGGCTTTCCATTATAAAACTATCATCAGGGCTTTATAATGCTAGTTACAGTCCCCTCTGGGCTGAAACTGGCAAATACATTCCCAGCCCTACAGGGATGCTTAGTCTTGTGAATTTTCAAGTGGTGTACAGAAGGAGAAGAGTTCAGGTGTTTCAGAATTACTGGGGCATAAAATGGATTGTGTGTTTTCACATACGATCAATGGTCATACAGAATATAGTAATATTGTAAAAACTGACATTTTTCCATAGCTCTTAAAACATAGAATTTCTACATAAATAAAATTAAACCCACAGTTACTTAGTTTTCAAAATTAAATACAGCCTGTATAAGACAATATTGGTTTTTTAATTTGCACTGCATTTATCTGTGTATCTGCCTATCTATCTAATTAGCTAGCAGAGCCTTAATATTTCATCCACCTTTTGGATGACAGTTCCCTGTATTGAAATAGGAAATCAATGTTATTCAATGAAATTCACTCTGCAAAACAGAAAACCACTTTAGGACTGGATAAATGGTGAGGGTTTAGGATAGTAAACCTCTCCGGACTCTATTTCTGTATTTTATATAGGGTCATTTATCATGGTACATAAGCACTACTTAGAACCAAAGATTCCACAGTATTTGTTAATATTTAGGAGACGAATAACACAAAGCCTAAACATAAACCCTAAACATTTGGCTTATGGCTTATATGCAATAAATATTTTTATTTATTGGGCAGTGTTAGGTTTACAGTTGGAGTCAATGATCTTAAAGGTCTGTTCTAACCCTGAACAATTCCATGATTCTATGGTTCTATATATTCCCACTCATGGTTCAGAGAGGCTTTTCTTCCACTCACAACCAAAGAAAAGTGTCTTTGTTTAAATTCACAGAAGATACAACCTTAACATCCTGGAGATTTTGGATCTTTGCATAGAGTACACAGCACACATAAACCAATAATTGAAACACATTTGCCAAAATACTTGCTCCATATCCTGCAAAGTCTGCCATTTACAGATCCACATAGATTATTAGGTTCTTTTTAGACACTTTGCTGAATGATTCCAAGATGATATGCCTACCAATTTCCAACATGGCACTGACATTTGAAGGTGCAAGATAATCCAACAGAATCTGACTGGAGGCAAATAGTTCAGTCTGTTAACATGGCCAGGTGGATACATGAAACAGTTCCCACCTCTTCAGTGCCATTGTGAATTGTATTATTTTAAATAAAAACCTAATGAAAATCAGCATGTCTTTTAGAGAGGAATGCGTATAATTCAGGTGCATGGTTATTCATATGTCAGAAACTCAAATACTAGTTTCTTATACAAAGATAATAAGACAGAATGACATGTCATTCTTTGTACATTATTGTGTTCTTCTTATGTTAGGTTTGTATCAGAAAAGATTGATACAAATACTGGAACCCAAATGATTCAGTTCTGCAATTGCTACAGAAGGACTTTGTCTTCTCATTTGGAAAAAATGAAAGTTGCCTATTTTTTTTTTTTTTTTTTTTTTTAATTCCATACCAAAACATCATGTTCTGGAGACAGAACAGTAGCCAATAAGGACATTTACAGGCACTGTGGCAGATGTATTTTTGCTTGCTTCTGCACACACAGAAGTTGTATAATACTGGGAAAACAGTCAATGAGAATGTTAATGAGATTGTAAAGTGGAAAACAAAGATAAAAAAAAGGAAAACTAAAATTAAAATGATCTAAGCAGAAGTTGAAGAAAATCTGCATGTGTCATTTTAAATTAAGGAACTTTAAAATACAAAACTTCCCATATACTACATCTACATCATGTCTTATTGTCTCAGATAAAATGATATTTGAGTTATTGCTGTAATACGTTGTTCTGAGTACATCTTCTTGGATTGTTTATGCGGAAGACGTAATACTGACAAGTAACTAGCCTGGTCACTCTTCAGATCATTCTTACAGTTTGCTCACACCGTTCTGTAGACACAATTAATCAAAACTTTTCTAATGTGGAAAATCTCATTTTTATTTATTTGTATTGTGGCAATTCCTATGATATTCCAGGAATTGCTAAAAAAAAGAAAACCAAAAAAAAAGAAAAAAGATGCAGAGCTTGCATTAATGTGGAAAAATTCTTTGGTTTTGACTTAACCAGCATGTACCAGAAATGAAAAAGCCACCCAGAGGACTTTGGCAGGAAAAAAAATAGAAAGTTTGAACATAGAGAAACATGTTTAGGGTGCAGAATATGTTGCATTCTTTCATTTTCTGGACAGCCTCTCTTGTTGTGGCTCCTATAAACTTTCAATTATAATTTTAATGAGATTCCCACAGATTCAAAAAAAAAAGAAAGAAAAAGGAAAAAGGAATCTCATCCTTAGTACTTGACTGTATTCAACATCTGAAGAATGCAGGAGGTAGAATATAATCTTTATTTATTCAAGAACCAGCACCATCATACTTCTGAATCTTGCAGGTGAAATTTATATGCAGTAGATGGAAGAAAACCTCACCTAATTATATGCTGGAACACAGGAGAAAAAGCCCTTCTTTTTAGAATTCTTTGAGCATTCTTTTGATGGACATTGGTATAAATTAGAAGACAGTGGTTCAATTACACATAAGAACACATACATATTTGATGACTCCATAATAATTATTGATTCAGAAAAATCTATTCAAGTAATCTAGTCTAATCAATTTAGTGATTGCTTTGACCCCTAATGGATTCATTTTAATATTCTTTACTGATACATCTCCTTTTGTCTTTATTTCATTTTCATGTTGCAGTTGCAGACAACCAGTTCAATACTGCTTTACTGAAAATTTCAGAATTGCCAACTATTAACTGTTCTTATTTACTGAGTAAAATAAAATATATTTGGAACTGATTAACTCCAAATTCATAGAAATGAAGAATTTTCCATGACTATCCAAATGAGCTGATTACACACAGTAATATGTGAATAATATTTAAGCTGTTTATTTGGAGCAGCACAGAAGTGGTTAATTAATGTGTCAAGAAAATCCCGAGTAAAATAAAAATAGTGTAGTTCTTATATGCTAGACCATGTAGATCATGGCCTAGAATAGAAAAGCTGAAATGTATTGCTATGATCCCTATAACACTGAATGAGTTATAAGATGCCTAGTGCAACTTCCAGTAGCTCTCTGACTAATTTAGGTTGCTAAATAATAAAAGATAAAGCAACCAAATAAGTGGCATGAACCATTGTCCCCTTCTCTTTACCATCCACCCATAAGCCTCCTGTGTTTAACAAATACTGATAACATTTCAGAATCAGCACCTTGAAGAATATTAATCACTTTAGAGCAGGAAATCAGATTCACTGAAAGGCATGACGGAAAAATGACCGGATGTTTGTTCATGGACTAAACACAACTTCAGCTCTCACAGTAGAGATTTAGTTTCTAAAATTACAACATAAGCCAAATTAAACAGTTGATCCCTATCCTCATCAGACTGAACCAAAAGTTTTAGAAAACATGTTCAAAATATGGGTGTGAATTCTGTAGCATTCACGTATTTACAAGAGTATACAACACTGGTTCTGATTCTGCTTTCTCATAAGTGATAACATTCTGGGTTTGTTGTGCTTTACAGCACAGTAACTATGTTGTTCCCTAATTTACAATCACTTAAGATACAGAGGAATGGGAATTAATTGTTTTAAAAGGCATCAGTGCCTTGA